CCAGAACCAGAACCAGAACCAGAACAGACAGGTGGTGATGAGTTTGGTTTACCTTCTCGCAGTCGTTCTTCAGGCTCTGGATCAAATCTGTCTGCTGGTCCGGCTGGTCCCTCAGACCCCTCTGTGTGTCCCACCAACCTGAAAGGACAAGAAGACCTTCATGGTTCTGAGTTCTGAGGTTCCTCTGGTCCAATCTGTCCAGCAAAGATGGAGTTTTGTGTTTTTTATCAGCTGGAAACTGGTGTTTTCATGAAAATTTGGTTTCTTTTTGTTCTGCAGACGCCTCCGATCGGACCGGGACCACCTGACAGTTTCACATCGGACCAGGACCACCTGACAGTTTCACATCGGACCAGGACCACCTGACAGCCTCTGATCGGACCAGGACCACCTGACAGCCTCTGATCGGACCAGGACCACCTGACAGTCTCACATTGGACCAGGACCACCTGACAGTCTCACATCGGACCGGGACCACATGACAGCCTCTGATCGGACCAGGACCACCTGACAGTCTCACATCGGACCGGGACCACCTGACAGCCTCACATCGGACCAGGACCACCTGACAGTCTCACATCGGACCAGGACCACCTGACAGCCTCTGATCGGACCAGGACCACCTGACAGTCTCACATCGGACCGGGACCACCTGACAGTCTCACATTGGACCGGGACCAGCTGACAGCCTCTTATCGGACCAGGACCACCTGACAGTCTCAGATCGGACCAGGACCACCTGACAGCCTCTGATCGGACCAGGACCACCTGACAGTCTCAGACAGGACCAGGACCAGCTGACAGCCTCTGATCGGACCAGGACCACCTGACAGCCTCTGATCAGACCAGGATCAGCTGACAGCTGGTGTAGGGCTACCTGTGTTGTTGCTGATGAGCTCTCTGAGCTGAGCCAGCTGGTTCTGGTCCACCTTCTGTTCCTCTAACGCTGCCGTGCGAGCTTCCACCTGGCTGAGCTTCTCCTGCAGGTTGTTGAGGTTCCTCACCGTCTCCTGGTTCCACGCTGACCCCCCAGCCTTCTGGGACAGGTTCAGGTGAGCAGTGATTGGGTCAGGGACCTTGTCACCTTCAGTCTGTGGTTCTGGGGTCCTGGGGGGGTCATGTTGGACCTGTGAGGGTGACCCATATGGGACAGAGTCGTCCACTCTCTGTGCAGAGACGTCGGGAGAACGAGGAGCTGCTGGTGTGATGGCGTGGTCATCGGGGAGGGGAGG